AGGGCTGCTGGTGAGTAGGCGCGCGCGCTGTCAGCGTGAGTGTGAGTGCGCCCCGGCACGAGAGAGGGTACCCGTCGGGTCCGTGTGCACCGTGGCCTGGCGCGCCCCTGTCCCTCTTCCGATGGCGGCGTCGGGTCTGGGGTTTGTTCCGCGGAAAGAATATGTTTTTTGCTGGTTCCTCACTTCCTTCCAAGTGCCCCGATCGTCCGCCTGCGTCTGCGCTGCTTCTGTGCGCCCCCAGCCGGCTCCTGGGGGTTCCTTTCACCTTGATGGGGAAGGCAGGAAGCTGTGGCTCTGGGTGGCAGGGCGGGACTCTGCCAGTGACCTACAAGCGTGTTTCTGGTTCCGAGTTGGAGACGGTGTCGGCATTGAAAGAGATCACCGCGCTGTCTTTGGGGGTGCGTGGTGTGGAGAGGGGAGGGCGAGGGTTGGAAACGCAGACCTTTGCCCCAGCAGGACATGTGACATACCTCTAGATGGCGTTTACTTTTATGGTGTTTATTAGCATAAACTGTCTTAAGACATTAAGTAATTCATGAGTAATTTACATCTTAACTGAATATCTTTAATGAAATGCACAAAGAAGTATAATGTCACTGGAACATAATTTTCCAGAACTCTCTAAAACAACAACCCACACTGCTGATAGCCAAGAGCCTACGGTGAAATTAAAAATACTACAAAAACTATATAATTTTATTAACCAATGCCACCCCAATAAATTTAATTTTAAAAAATTAAAAATTGCATACGTAATAAGTAATTCAAGAAACAGAAGTTGATCTAGACTAGAGGATGGGAGGGGGAGGATCTTAAGTGTTTGAGTGCCTTGGTGATAGGGTGTCTTTCTGGAAATCAGGTGGTTAGGAAAACAGACATCTTTCAAACTAAGCTCCACTGAGCACAGTGATTTACAAGCATCCTGTTAGTCACTAAGAAGAAAATGAAGCCCTAGGTTTTAGGGAGTTTCTGAAATTATAATGAATATGAGTAAGATGCTGATTTATGATTTCATGCTCAAGGCCCTGTCAATGGTAATAAATACAGCAGATTTGTTCCAGCAGATAAATTACACCAGAATTTTTTAAAAAGATATTTTTATTGATTTTTGGAGAGGAAGAAAGAGTGAGGGAGAGAGAGAAACACCCATGTGAGAGCAGAACATTGATGGGCCGCCTCCTGCCTGCCCTCTACTGGGTTTCTAGCCTGAAACCCCGACTTGTGCCCTGACCAGGAATCAAATGGCCAACCTTTTGATGCAACAGACAACACCCAACCAACCAAGCCACACTGGCCAGGGCTACACCTGAAGTTTTGACTTCTGTGTGAAGTTTTTATTCATAGTTTTCTATGATGGCTTTATAGAGATTAAGCCACTGGGTTTTATTTTTTCCCAGACCTTGTTTCAATGGACAGTCTTATTTATGTTTGTGGAATGCATGCTCAATTAAATTTCAAAAATGTACTCTATAACTGTATTATAGTAGCATTTTGTAGCTATATATGTCAATTTTTTTAAATTCAAGTTAATGCCTTTGAGAAATAGACTCCTCCTGTTTACTACTGGCTCCATTACAGCTTCTTTATTCGAAGCCATGAAATGTTACTGGAACCTACCTGGAAAATGAACTGGCTGCCTCTTTTCAGTTCAAGCATATATCCAGCACATTGTTGGCCACTTGGGAATCTAGCTGGAATTTATGTATCAGTTGATTCTTGGGAATTTTAAAAAGAAACTTGGTTGTTTTTTGTTTGTTTGTTTGTTTTAAATAAAACAAGCACCATTTAAATGATCATGCAGATAATCCTAGTCTTTTACCCATATTGTGGTCTTGAGGGCCAGTTTCTTGCCTACTTTTGCCTTGTTTCATAGGACTGATTGCCAATGCGAGGCTTAGAGAGAGACATTGAGGGGAGCGGTATTCCCCAGGAGATTTGCTCCTGGAGAGGAGAATGTCTCTGGGTTGGCTCCTGAGAAGGACTGATAAAAATAGTTAAAGAACTGTTAGTAATAGTTACTTTTTTTTTTTTTTTTAGCACCTAGGCCTTAACTAAACCGGTTTGATCATATTCCTCCTTCAAGGACTCTTCCCAGTCCTACTTACAGCATCAATCCAGGGAGTGAGGTTGCTTTTCACAGAGAAGAAAAGTCTGGTAATTCTTGCTCAACATATGAGGGGTAGAGGAAACATGTAGATGCTGCCCAGGAAATGCCAGGTGCCTTCCCGGAGGATACATTTACAAATTAGAGACATTCTAATCTGCTGGATTCGGGATTCTGTCTAAAGTTAGCATTTTTTCTCAACCCTGTGAAAGATTTATAAGTAACTTCAAATGATACCACAAAAAATGACTCATAGTCATCCCTGAAAATATCAGAGTCAGCTTTCTGTCCCTTCCGGCTAACGGATCACAGATGCTCAATAAATGTGTGTTAAATGAAAAACAAGTCTGGAATGTCTTTACTTCCCAATTTAACTAGTTCACATCTAGTATTGATTGTTTTTAGCCATAACTTTATAGGAACCTTTCATCAAATTGAAGCTCATGCATATATTCAACTAAGATCAACTTCCTCCATCAAGGAACAATAACAATCCCTTCGAGATAAAAACAAACAAACAGACAAAAAGCACTGTATTGGCACCTGTTGACTTGCTCACTCCATGAACATGTGAATTGTCCAGCGGGATGTGTGAGTTTACATTAAAAAAATCCTGAGTTGACATCAGGCTGTTCATTCAGCCCAGGAATAATCGGGATGTGCCTTTTGTCACAAATTATTTGCATTTCTAAGCAAATCACATGAGTTTCTAGTACAATCCAGCATCTCCTCATGCTAAATGGAAAAGCCAATGAAACCTTTGGCAAATGGCTAAATGTTCACAGCACATGGCATTTGATTTTCTTTCTAAATTTTAAATTCATCCGTGTTGTGTTTGTCCATTGATTTGGCTGGCTTAGAAACTAATTCAGACTGGTGGTTACTTAGTAACTTGCGTTTATTAAAAGCAGCTCCTTTATTTAAGCACAGTAATTCGTGTTTTAATTGCTCTAGTTAGCCTTTTAAAGTCCTCTTGGAAATGGTTGCATTGTATGATCTTGGATATTAAGAGCGCTATGCTTTTTTTTTTTTTAATAGTTCTAACTTTCCATTCCTAGTCATTAGAAATTTAGCCTATGATTCATGTTTTAATTTCAGGACTAAAAATTATTAGAAAGCTGTCTGAAGTTTGCCTGGATATTAACATGATCATGCATATTAATAATGCACATTTTCTGTCTGGCATTCTTCTGTCCATGTCCTCCAATCAAGCTTGTTTTATTCTGAATAAAAATTAAATGAGACCCTTAAACATTTAATTTTTTTTTCTAATAGGCTATGTCCAAAATAAGTACAATAAAAAACTGCTATCACTGTGTTGAAGTAATACAAATACTGATATCCTCTGCATAATGAAACATGGCCATTCTTATCAGGTATTTACTTGATTAGTAGGAACTTGAACAAGGGTTAAAGGCCTGTTCGTTTCATGCCTTACTAAGGCCTGTGAAAGCCAGGGAGTGGAATTTTGATTAGATAAGGTGGCCAGTTCAAGGGAGGTTCCTGGAAAGGATTCAGTGATGAAAGCATCTTTTCGAAGAATATTTTGGCCATTGGGTGGGGAGTGGATTAGTGGAAAGAGGGAGTGGAGGTGTCAATCTGGTGTCAGATGATAGCCGCACTTTTCATCCAAAGGCTGCAATGGAGAAACGAAAACTTAAGACAGTCAGACATCAGAAGTCTTTGTTTTATGTGCAAGAGGGATAGTAAACCTGTGGCACAAGGGTCATCATTCACATATTCCACATTCGTGGAACATCACCCACATTTTTTTTGGCTGAGCCCTAGTGTAACCTCAGAATCTTGCAAACATTTGACAGATATTTAGTAATAAATATTAGTTCCTGAACATGTGCTATATGCCAGGCACTGTGCAAAGACTTAACACATTATCTCAAGGGTGATGGCATAGTTAGGAACATGAATTCTTTTTGCCATTTACTAGTTGTGTGTCCTTGGGCAAGTTACTAACTTCTCTGAGCCTCAGTTTCCTCATCTTTTAACAAGGATATTAATTTCCCTCTCATAAGGCTTGGGGTAGGGTTAAATGAATAAATAGGTATAAATGAAAAGTGATTAGAAGTGTCTGGCAAAAAAGTTGTGCTATATGTGTTTGTTGTTATTTATTAATTCATAAAACAACTTTAGGCAATAGGTATCATTGTGCAAATTTAAAAATTGAGGTACAGAGAGATTCTTGTATAAAATTTTTGCTTTAGTTGTATTTAGTATTTTTAGTATTTTGTAAGTGGTATTTTTCATTAAGTGCTTTATTAAGAAGTCTTTCAATTTATATTTTTACATTTGCTTTAAAAATTGTTTATTTTTTGTTTTTGCCTAAGAGTTGACATATGCAATACATATAAATTTGTAACATCTCTCCTTATACCCAGTGATTCTGAGCTGGAAGAAAGGAGGTATGTCTTCCTAATATAGTGTATAGCATATAGCTCATCCTATATAATAAAAACGTAATATGCTAAGTGTCTGACCATTTGACCTTTCAACCAGTCGCTATGATGTGCACTGACCACCAGGGGGCAGATGCTCTGACAGGTAGGTTGGCTTGCTGCTGTGGTCCGGCCATATGTGGAATCTAATGAACATTGGGACTGGGTGAGATGGGCAGGACACGCCCTGGAGCCCTCCTGCGGTCCCTCCCAGGCCCCGATTGTGCACTGGTTTGGTCCCTCGGCCTGGCCTGTGCCCTCTCACAGTTCAGGACCCTTCAGGGGATGTCAGAGAGCCAGTTTCGCCCCGATCCCTGCAGGTCAGGCTAAGGTTCCCCACTGGTGCATGAATCTGTGCACTGGGCCTCTAGTATTATATATTATATAAATAATGTGCAATGTAATATTATGTAATTATATAATATATGTTATATATGTCATATGAAGATGTTATATGCATTATATTAGGTATGTATTATACTAGTATACTTATATATGCATTCTCTATGTATACATGGTATAATGTATACATTATAAGTTATATATAATATGTAGTGCATTATATTAGGGAGACATTTATGTTATATATAATGAACAACTGGGTATAAGGAGAAATGTTACCAATGAGTATGTGTACATTAAATTATTGGGCAGGTATCAGTATTCTGAAAAACTTCTGTGCCATCCACCTCTCTCCATACTCCTAGAATCTTATATATCTCCAATTCATGACTGACAGTGGAGTTATGATGACATTTTATAACTGTTTTTATTCAGAATGTTTTACAGATTAACCACAGAGTAAATTTTAGCTGTTCTTTGACTTGTTGAAGTAATTACGTCTTAGTTATAAGAGGCCAGATTTTAATTATAGGTGGGAAGGCTGCTATAGCAACCAATAATACAAAATTCTTAATTCCCTTAATGCTGCTTTAGGATGCAATATGCCATCACCAGTTTTAATATTTTAACATTATATTAGTCCTTATATAATTTCTTGTTCTTATAACTAACTTTCAGAAATGTGTAACTAGTATTGTTTTTTTCTAAGGAAGCAAAAAATTTTCTTGGTTTTATGTAAAGTTTGTGAGTAAAACATGACTATTTAGTTGAAGAAAAATGTTCAAATCTCTTTAAAAATATGGTGTGCATCCTTTGTTCCTTTATTTTACCTTTTTTTGTAAATTACATGTCATTAACTAAAGTTCAATTCCTTGTCAAGGAACTGTTTTTAAATTTAGTGAGTTTATCCACTCCTCTACTGATAGGCACTTGGGCTGTTTCTAGATCTTAGCTATTATAAATAGTGTTGCTATGAACATAGAGGTGCATATATTCTTCCTGATAGATGAGTGGATAAAAAAGTTGTGGCACGTTTACACAATGGAATACCATGCCACCATAAAAAAGAAGGATCTCTTACCTTTTTTTTTTTTCATGTTTTTTTTGCTTTTTTTAAAAATTTAATTTTGTTTTATTTCTTAAAGTATTACAAAGAGTATTACACATGTCTCCTTTTTCCCCCCCTTGACATTCCCCCGGCC